TGCTACAATATGTAACTTGGCTACTACTCTGTCCAGTTCTGCTACAACATAAGTGTTCCCTTTCATTCTTTACACTACTACAAACAGTCCAAGGTATTGCAGTTTCATCTTTCATCCTAAGTCATTACTCACTTTTGAATTGTGGATTAGTACTAGTACACCTGGCACAAAGTTGTAGTCCTTAATCTGATTACAATTGACTTCTGCAAAATGCTTTGTGTATCTTTTACAGGCTTTCTAAATGTATTCCATCATTTGTGTAAGGTTGTCTAGTCTCTTCTACAATTGTTGTACTTATATTGCTACTAGTTCCTCTGTTGTTAGTAGTAATCCTTCAGGTGGAACCAAATACATTACCTTGTTCAGGTCAAACAGTAATATTGGCTCTACTCTATGAACAAGGTAATAAGGAGAATATCCAGTTGCTTTCTGAATTGTAATCTGCTCTGCCCAGAACACAGAATGTGTGTACTTATACTAATGTCCAATATTGTCTCCTACTGTCTTTACAATTGCTTCCTGTATGTCCAAGTGTTTCTGCTCAATAATTCTGTTTGTGCAGGAGTTATACATGGAAATCCGAATATGATTAATGTAGTATTGTTCTTGCAAATAGTCCAGCACTATGATGTAAGGTGTTCTATTGTCTGTTACAAGCTTGGGACATGCCCTGTATTAGTATAGAAGTTCCTTAAAGATGAACTGTCCTATTGTCCTTCTGTTCTCTGTGTGAAGCATGCAAAACTCTGGATACCCTGATAACAAACAGTGTGTATACACAATATATCAGAATCTTCCTGCTTTCAGCATAACCTTTGTATCTATGTGGATCTTTTGGAAAAGTAGTACAATCTCTAGAATACTTGGTAGAATCAGCACTTGTTACATCTGCCAAGTCTGACATGTATGACAAGTCCTAATAAAGTACTTAATGTCTTCTGTAAGAGATGGCCACTAGAACCAATCTAGTAGACAGGCTTGTACTGTAAAGATTCCTTTGTGTCCTAAGTCTTTGTGTACTATCCTAACCAACTCCCATCTCCTGTCCTTATCTGGCACAATCTGATGCTTTCCTTTAGGACCTTGACACCAAATCTTGTTGTTCTGTACAAAGAACTGTACTGTGTATTGTATAAATGTTAGAAAATCAGCATCTGCAATTCTGCTTAGTTTGTAGAGCAAGCTAAGATACTCTTTCACAGCCTTCAGTCTTGCTTCTTACCTTTCAGCAGTTAGTGATTGTGGGAATCATTCTACTGTTGTATCCAAACCCTCAGTCTTGTTACTGTAGATACTGTGTACAACCCCTATTAGCTCTAGATTGTCACCTTCTGCTTTGTTATCTGCTCCCTCTACCTCCTTGGTTCCTACAACTCTGTAAGACTCTCCTCCAGGTTCCTACTCCTGTAGTCCTTTGTCTACTTCATCTTCTACTCTTCTGTGTTCTAGATCAGGTTGTTCTGGTCTATCTTAATGTATCCAATTCCAGTTCTGTTTCAGAATAACAACTTCTGAGAATAATCTACATTACAGTCTGCTGGAACATGTTGTCTGTAGCACATTCTTGTTTACTTGAAATGATTTGTTAATAATGTTGTTGTGTGTCTCCCAGCATGTTGCATCTGAAACCCAGGACTGTGTTTCTATGTACTCAACTAATAAGGCTTTGTGTTCTGTAGACCTGCAAGTCTCCAGCTGATGTCTGTGTTGTATAGATTCTATTTCTACTGTATAAAATCTGTATGACTCATCAATCCAGTCTTCATAGGTTTCATTGTCTGGAGGGTCTTTGAGTACTACTCAGTATTACAATAATCTGTCTGTACACTTGAAGTCTGATGCAGGAATGTGGTAGAACTCGAAATTGAATAGCAAAATACTAGCTATCTAGCAATTGATCATAGTATTAGGCTGTAGGTCAGGCTTATTGATCATTCCCTTTATGTATAAAGTGTCCATTTCTACAATTAATTTCTTAATACTTATAAGATATATGTGTGATGTGTGAAGTGTACAATAAAGTCTGAACAGCTCTATTTTTGCTTACAAATATTGCACTTGTGTTGCATTCCAGTTAATTGATCTGAATTGATTTATTCTCTGTTTGCAATCTGGGTGCTCCTGACTGATATACTATCCTACTCTAATGATAGACAAATCTACTACTAAGACTACCAGATACTCTAACTTGTAGTCAATTAGTGTTAGTGTAGGGCAATGTAAGACTGCTTCCTTGAGTGTGTCTATAGATTTCTGTGCTTCATCATTCTAATTGAATATCAAGTTCTTTTGTGTGAGTCAATTGAGTGGTTGTGCTAACTTTGCATAATTTTGAATAAAAACACAAAGCACTCCTACTGTTCTAAGAAATCCCTGTACTTCTGTAACACTCTTACAAGGTGGCCAATCCCTAACCTTCTGTATTCACAATTCTTCAGCCTCTCTCCCCAAATATGTTAGCTTATGCTTAACAAATATTACAGATTTGTTATAAAGTGTCATCTTCTTCTCAGAAAACATCCCTCCTACAGCTTTCACTCTCTGCAAAATCCAGTTTACATCCATCAGATGCTTGTATACAAACTTCTGTATTTCCTTGTTCTTAGAAAGCATTTCCTCTGTTCTGTCTGCTTTCTCATATCTTAAGCAGGGTTCAATTACTAGAATGTTGTCTGTGTATAAGTTTGTAACATCCAGAATCTTGTTGTGAAGAATAAACACTAAGTCATTATACAGAATCTGTACTGAGTTAGTGTAACCCATTAGCAATACTGTCAAGCAAAACGTCCCTAGGAGTGTCTGGAACATTGTCAGATCTCTAGACTGCTCATCCAAACTCCTCTGATCAAACATGATATGCAAATCAAGTTGTGTATAGTATGCACAACCTCTACAGCTTTCTACAATTAGTTCCATGTTTGGTAGAATGGCTGTGTCCTTTATTGTAACTGTGTTTAACTTCTGCAAATTGATAATAAATTGTAAGGATACTCTGTCCTTCTTTGTGACACAAAACCATTACAATCAATACAAGGAATTTGATGGTTCTATCACTCTGTTATACAACTTCTCCTTCAACAACTCAATCACCCTCTTCTCAATTCTGTGTACAATTGGAATACTTCTCTCTACCCATAGTACATGCTCTACAGTCAGAATTTGAATAGGATCAAAATACATAGGGTCCAATGTTCCTTGCTCCTCTTCTGTCTACACAAATGCTTCTGACTATAGTATTAATAGGTTCTCTGTAAGCCTCTATTCTTCTGGCCATAAGAATCCTGATTGTAATTCTCTAATTACTTACATCTGTTCTTCTGTACATCTGCTGGTAGGTACAAAGGGTTGTAGTATTGTTAGTAATATAGGCATTCTGGCTAGGGGATTAGGGTGCTGTTGTCTGACTATGTGGAACTCCTCTGGAAGTACTCTGAGTATAGGGTGCACCTTATTTACAACTTTCTTGTAAGCCCACAAAACTGTGTTGAGTTTGTCATCTGGTACATTGAGAATTACTGACTTTTGTGACTCTACTACCTCTATCATCTATGATTCTGTGACTCATGATCCCTGACTATAATCCTGTCTTACATTTACTCTATTTCCTTTGCCTCTTCCTCTGTATAGAATCATTACCTTACTATTACTCTTCTGCTTGTTTGTTCCTAATCTGCTTATCATATGTGTATCTCCTTAGAATTACAGTGTTTCCAGTTCCTTGATACTTCTCAAAAATCTGTCTCTAGCTTGTATTGTGGTGCCCTTACTCTGGTAGACAGAGACTATCTCCTTGACAGATCATTTGGGTCCTAAAGTGTTATATACTGCTCCCTGTTTGTAAAATCTTTAGTTTCACATTCTGTAGTCACAAAGAACAGTCTACCTAGCAAGATCCTGAACAGAGCTTTCTACACAACTTGTGCTGTGATATTTATGTAAAGCATTCCTATAGAGAGTTGTAACCTTAGAATCTGTCCTACAGTCAATCCCTGACCTGTGTCTGCTGTTTTGAGTGTAACAGCCATATCTTGATTCAACAGAATCTTTAATGCTTCCTATACATCAGCTCAAACTATGTTCATACTTGAACCCTAGTCTAGTATACAATCTACCTCAATTTTTCTGTCTACTATTACCTTGAGTGTACAGAGTAGAAGCAAATGGTTGACTTTTACTAACATGTTGTGATACTACTATAGTGTACAAATGTTCAATCCTGTAACAGGCAGCTTTCTACTATAGAACACAGTGTTTCTATCTGTTTAGTACCTTAATATAACTAATTTGTAAGTCTTCTTCTGAAGCTCTGGAGACAATGTGAGCAACTCCTACTGTGTAATACACACTTCCTAGTTCAAGCTGTGTTCTAAAACTCTTCCAGCTATTTCTGAGTCCTCAATTGGTACAATGTAGTAGTACAGGTACTCCTTTGTTCCAGTTGCATCTTGCTATATACTTGCTAGCACTAGTCTGATATCTGCAGGTTTTGCTACTTTATAATCACACCCTTACTTTCCCTTCCCCTTCACATCCTTTACTTTCAATTGTTCTACAACCTTCTTACAAGCTTCTCCTAGCATTACTTCAAGCCTTTCAAGCTCTACAAGGTTCTCCACCTCCTCCTCTTCTTCTTCATCAACCTCTACCATTGTAACTAGTACTAGAGCTCCTAGACTGTGTACTATGACTGGTGCAGCTTGTATGAAACTAATAGAGTACATTTGTAACAACAGAAAGTGGCTATCAACCTTTTCCTTCAAGGTTTGCCCTATCCCAGAAATAGTGTTTCTGTTAGCTATAATAATTTTATTGTCTAGGCTCTGTACACACTTCCTGTTTGTAATGTATTCTAATACTTTTGAGCAACTGTGTATAAAATGTTCAGATTCTCTACAAAACACACAACTTCTGTTTCCTAATTCTCTGCCTGAACCTCTACTGTATCCTCCTCCTCCTGATCTTGGGCCTTACTTCATTGACTCTACTTGTGATTGTAGACTCTAAAGTGCTTCCACAATACTTGTCAAATTAACTTCCTCCTGTTTGACTAGAATTACAGACTGACTTGCAAGTGTATCTGATCTACTAACTGCTGTGAGTGTAGATCCTCTGAGGATCAACCCTACTACAGCTATGACTTGTGTAATATTGTATACAAGTCTGTCCTCATGGTCCAGATACTTGATTTCTAACTTCTGTGTCAGCTTTTCTGTGATTGCTCCACAGAACACACACAGAAAAACATGGCAAGATTCCTCTGGTAACAGCTTATTGTTAGTTGTCAAATAGGTTACTATGAGTGTAAACTCTTGATGGTATGTTCCCAAATTGTCCCTATTTGTAATTCCTCTCTCTGCCCATTTCTGTACTATAGCATCCAAGTCACTTCTAGCATATTGTGCTCCTGTCTTGAGACTCAGGTAATATACAATTACTCCTGTCTTAAATGTATCCCAAGATGTTTTATCTGTATTATCCTACAAATCCTCCACTTCTACAGGCACATACTTCATTGTGAGTAGAATGATATCTGCTCTAGCTATGTTGTATTTGTTTGTGAGACTTTCCATGTCTGTGAAATACCTCTACAATTCTCAGGGCTTGGTTCTGTCAAAGGACAGTGTATCATGTACTCTACAACAAGGTAGCTTTGGAATGTTCAATGTAGCTATTGACTGTACTGTTAGCCTTGGTTGCAATAGAATTTGTGTGTTTACTTGTAGTTGCTGAAGTAGTTGTGTGTCACTTACAAGTTGTTATTACTGTAACTGGAGCTGTGTTACTAACAATACACTGGTTGCTAGTAAGAGTAATGATACTGGCTGCTGGACTGTCTCTGTTTCCTGTAGAGACAACTGTGCTCTTCTACAATGTGGTGTTCCAGTTATGGTCAGTTGTAATACTGATACAGTTTGGGAAAGTTGTAGGGTAGCTAGTAATCTTGTATACAATTCTGAGGATGTGAAATGTAGTAGTTTGTTACAAACTCAGAAACTGATTACTTGAGGATTGAGTAATGATGCTACAATGTCTTCTTCTTCCTCCTCTTTGTTACTGACTCAAGCACTCTACTGTTCTAATAGTGTTCCTAAGGTTTCTACAATATTAGATTCTGTACTTCTAGTGTTTGGACTATTAAACATTTTACAGTGTGATTGGATTCTAGCAGATCTGTGTGTTCTGCTCAATACAGGTACTAGTGTTGACTGTGACTGAGTTGACCTAAGGCTACAGGCTGGTGTCTGAGAAACCTGTTCAGGATGCTGAGAACTGTTAGAACTTGTGTTGTTTAACTATGGAAACCCCCCCTCACAGTAGGCTCTAGATGAAACTCCTGTAAAGTGTCTAAGAGAAGAACACAGGTGATTTGTTAAGTTTGAGGGGGAGCTAAACCACAAGTCTTAGGAGACTAGAGTGGTTCCAAACAGGTGTGAGTTCTTCTGACACAGTTGCAACCTTGGAAGAGAGATGTGAATAACAGAAAGTGTACTTTACAAAGTGCACAATGAACAATCTGATACAGAAAACAACAAAGACTAAGACTATGCCTCATGCTAGAGGACTTCAAGACAAGAGACAAGAGCTAAATTAATGGGTGAACTATCTGAATTTTTTTCTGTATCTAGTACATGAGTAGCTGTATTTATAGTTTTCTGAGTTCTGGAAAAGTATAGTACTAACAGGGAAATGTCATAACTGAACAAAAGAAAAATAACAAAATATACAAGAACAAATAAGAGAACCTTTTGTCAGAGGTTGGAAGAAAATGGGGTGAAAATGTATGAGGAAAATTTAAGTGGTCTGCATTCTAGCCACAGGAAATGTTATGCAAAAGGGAAAAGCAAGATTTACATTGAAAGAAGTAGAAGGTTCTCATACTGTTATCATCTGATTGGTACAGACAAAGTGTGGAGAGTTCTAAGATTTCTGGCAGTCTCCTGAGATCAACACTTTGATTGCCCTGATGTCCTATCTGATTAGAAGATTGTAGTACTTTGATCTGGGCAATGATGACATAATGGTTTGCTGAGCCACTTACTGTGACACAACTTGTGTTCTGAGCCTGTAATAAGTATGTGATCTGTACATCCTGTGGAAAAAACAATGTGTGTAAGCTGATTCTAAGACTATGCATGCTTGTGGTTCTGTTTGTGAATGCTTGCAATGCAGAATAGTTGGGTGTTCTCAGAGTAGGCTTCTATGAGTCATGTGGGTGTTCAGAATTGATTGCTGTGATTGTCTGCATGTGATGTACAGTTCTTAGTGTGATGCCAATCATTTCAGTGTGTAAATTATAGTAATAATGTCTGGAGCAAGAGAATTGACTTGTGATACTTGTTTAGATTGTAACCAATAAGGATTAGAGAGGAGTTAATATTCTAGTATAAAGTATATAGTTTGTATATAAAGGTGAGATATTGTAATTCTATTTGTGAGCAAAAAGAGTAGACTTAGAATGATAAGAGAGTATAAGGATAAAGTAACTACTGTTTGTATTATACAAAATGTCTAAGTAGAGTCAAGAGAACAGAGAGAAAGCTTAACATATTTGTGTAAGAGTTATGAGAAATTAGAGGAAGAATTAGAGAGTGTAAGAGAAATGTGTAAGAGGCTAGAAAGAGGATAACAGTGTAACATAAGTTTGTATACTAGGACCTTATTAATTATTACTAGAAAAGAGCTGTTATTAATAAGAGCTTAGATAGTCAAAGGTAGAGTTGTTGTAAGACTGTTAAGAAGACATTCTTAGTAGATTTAGAAGGTATTCAGAGACACATACTTGTCTAAATTGTTTATGTAGACAGTAGAGAGCATCTTTACACTAAGAGTAACAGTTACTACATTTGTATCTTAGCTTGACAATAAAGAGCTTGAAGAGAGAGAAGGCTTGAGTTAGAAAGCTATATATGTATAGTTGGAAAGTTGATCAAGCCATTCTTTAATTATAATAAAAGCTACTAGTACAGATTTGACACAGTCTAACAGAGGTAGAGCTAGTATGTGTTTTGGACAAAGACACACTCTTTCAGTCTTAGTAATTGTATTTGGATTTATTTTTGTGTACAGAATCTTGTAGTCTTTTGTAAAGTAGTTAACATACATGTAACAGTACTTAAAACATTTATTATAGTAATTAAGAGTGACTTTTTCTACAGTTAACAACTTCTTAATTTTTGAGCTTACTTAGTATATATAAGCCTGTAATTACACATTAGAAGTCCTTATTAGACTAGAAAAGGAGAGTACTGACTAGGAGGCACAACTTTTCTTGTAGTTACAGATGGTTTTAGTAACAAGCTTATAATAGTTACACACTTGATTATCAGTCTTACAAACTATAGTAAGCTAGTCTTGAAGTTAGTAATGTCTTAGATTCCTGGTTCTGAACAAACACACTTATGGTCTAAGTCTAAACAAGTACTCATAAGGAACCAGATTTCCTAGTAGAATAAAGTAGTCAGAGTACTAGATAAGGGATAGTTGTGTCTTAGAATGTTGAAATAAAACTTGTTAACACATTGTTTGTTTTGCTTCAAGTTTTCTATTTTGTCACAGAGTTTGAGGTCTTAATTGTGTTCAAGTACTATACTCTTAAGATTTGTAATAAACTCCTTGAATTCTATAGCCTTTATCTAACCTGGTTGTACAGTATACTAAGTGTAAACTTTAATAAGTTTAAGACTGTAAATAATAAGACAGACCTACTTATTATTAAGAATGTTCTTGTGTATAAAGAATGTAACACACTTTCTTGAGTACTCTTTAGACAGCTAAGGAGTCATCTGACCATTTGAGATAGTAAGTACTGAGTTAGGCTTATAATTACTAATCTGTACTAAGAGACAGAGTATCTTGATTACTATACTGTAAGTAAGAGTAAGAATGCTAGTAGACTGAAAAATACAGTTAAGAGCTAGACTAGTAGTAACAATAAGTACAGATGACAGGTTCAGATATTAGATACAGATAGTAAGTAAGAGTAATAAGAACAGTAGTAAAAGTAGGTGACTAGTGTAAGTAGTAAGACAGTAAGTTAGTAGTAACAGTTTAGATAGTATAGAAAGAGAGTAGCTTTTTATAATAAAAGAGTAAACTAGTAATTAAGACATTTAAAAAAAAAGTGTAGACAAATGTCTTACTCAGAACACAGAACAGGCAATTGACTAGTATTAAGAAGGATAAATATAAGAGAAAGAGAGATATGTCTTGAAAATGTCTAAGAAAACTATTTATAAGAAATGTTTACACTTTAAACAATTGTAACTTGTGTCTGAGGTATGTACTGTATTTATTATTGTCTCTATACTACTATATTTACTATTATTATTATTGTAGCTATTATAATAGGTATACTAATAAATTATAGATGATTGTAACTTGTGTCTGAGCTATTACAATAGGTTATAAGCTTTAGATTGTGATTCTAAAGCTGTGTATTACTATTGTCTCACTATTTAGTGTTCTAAGCACAAATTGTACAGACACTAGAGTCCCTTGATTCTCAAAAAGCAATTAGTGTGGTCTGTTAGAACTGTAAACAGTATCCTATTGAAAATAGGAACAGAGTAGCCACAGGACCCTTTGTATGTGTCAAACACTACAAGTACAATTAGTAGAGCTAGTGTCTACAATTATAAGTACTCAAACATTGTTTGATACATTACTAGCAAACATACCAAAGCTTGACACATCTGGGAAGAACTGGGTCATCTTTGTGTCCTGTTTCTGTACTACTGTAAAGGTAAAGGGCAAATAGGAGCATTTTAATAGATTAGTACTCTGTCCTAATAAGCTTAGTACTAATAGAGTATTAGTAGTTACTCTCCAGGCAGAATAGGACAGTGTAGAAAACACACAAGGCAAATTCACATTATGGATTGATCAGAATTTTAGTCAGAATGTAAAAGCAGCCAATCAGAGCAGCTTTCTCACATTCTGATAAAAATTCTGAGCACTTTCAAAATTTGATTTTGCCTTGTGTAAAACATAGCTTGGTACCTCTTATCTTAGAGGATTCCAGATTCAGACCTTATTTGTCTGGAGCACTATAAGACTTGTACTGAATGCTAGAACATGTTAGTGACTAAATATACTCAAAAGTCAATATATACTCAAACAAGTATATAAAAGGACTTCCTAGAGTCCTCCTTCCTAAAAGACACTAATGTGTGTAAGTTCCTGTACAACCTACAGATGCACAGGGAGACATTAGTGTAATCATGAGTAGAGATATTAGACAAGGACTATATCTCTACCATTATCTTATCAATTCCCTATTACTTGCAGAATTTTGCAAGTGCTCAGCTTACCTCTGCTAAAATGGCTGCTAGGAGCCTTCTATTGTTAGTCTTAACACTAACCCCTAAGCAGCTTAAGAAAGCTTGTCAAATTGATCCTAAAATGCTCATCTATATTATATTGGACAAAGTAGACTGTCAGAAGTACAAATGTGAAAATA